TATATATATATATATATATATATATATATGTGAGTAACCGAGTATATTAGACCAAAACTCAGACGAATTTCGTGGTCGGAGACCGACCATGTTATTTGCGTTTTCAAATTTGAGATTTGAATTTGATATGAAACAGACATTTTACGCTCTGATTCACCGATCGAGCTACCTAATTTTCTATCTATTTATTTATATTAATCAACTTCATATATGCATTGGTAATTATCTCTTTGATAAAAAATCAGACTAATCTCGTAGTCGAGAATCAGGTATATAATTTTGAATATGCATTTCCTTTCTCCAAATTTGAGGTTCGAATTCAAAATGGACAAACACTTTACACTTCGGTTTATCATCCACTTTTAGATCTATTTATAACTTATATTAATTAACCTCATATATACATCGGTAATTATCTCATTGACCAAACACCATTGATGTGAGTTAATCAACGTGAAAGAAATTGTATTTTTTTTAGATATATAAGTCCACTTAAAAACATAATCATGATTTATGATATGAGTACTTAGTTTTTCTTCTATCATCGTATTTGTAAAATCTGATAACGACTTCACATATCTCGTCACGTTAATTACAATGCAAGTCACTTGCACCCAAAATTGACAAGACTTGGGCGGAAATTCTAAGAGAACCCATACATAATGGTTTCAATCAAATCCCACGGTCCATGTTATTACTCACTTTAAATCGTTGGATGAGGCTGTGCATAGCTTTAGAAAGACTTCATCTTTTGAATGACTAGAATTTTTTTTGGATTTTGGAATCTGAATCATTAACATCAACATGACTTTAATTTCATATTTATCCAGAGTCGGTCATAGAATTCTTCGTTTCTATTCATTTCGATTTTAGGTTAATCAGGTTTACAGTACTTTTAAATTGTATATTTGTTTTTACTAAAAACTTGGTAAATCACTTCACCGAAAAAAATCAATTATAAATCATAAATCTTTTTTCCTTTTTGGATTCTCACATAAAAGTCTGATTTTTTTAGTAGACTATTTCATTTCCTATTAAAAATTTATTATACAAAAATATTCATTATTTTAAAGATAATTTTATATCATACCTATTTAAAGAATTTTTTTTTTATAATTTTATCATACTCATTTATCAAAGTCTATTAATCAGTTTATTATTAACCGGTTTACTCAATCTTGGTAGACATTTCTGGTTTTGCATCACTGGTTTAGCAGACAATTTGATACCTTTAACAGACACCGAAGCTATACAACATGTACATGTTCTCTTGTTTTATAGCCTTTTCACCTAATACTAGGATTGAGATTGGCCAACGTTGTCGAAAAAGCAACAATAGGTGATGGGGTTGTGTCTAGACCAGTCATCGTAGATCCTATCTTTAATTTTTCCGGTCAGCAAAAGCGTCCCATGTTTAGATCCTTCACTTAAAATATATTAGAAAAAAATTCAAACCGAAATGTGATTAGTCATGCACAGATTTTGGGCCGAAACCAGATTTTTGCGGATCGTAGGAACATACAACACATGATCGAGAGATAGTGATATGTTAGGCAAAGATATGGATAGAGAATCCATGTATGTAATTGGCAAACCTGAGCCATCGCCAATGATAACATCATCGACACCTTGGTAAGGACTATGAAGCAATAAATTCTGCAGATCCGACGTTATGTAATGCGAGGCTCCGCTGTGAAGAAGCCAATGAGTAGTGTGTCATAAGTCGATGAGTGCATGACATTGTAAGCATTTGGATTCCATGGTTTAGGAGTCTGATGTTGCGGTGTCGGAGCAGAGAATTGTCGATCAGATTGTTTTGCAGTCGAGATGAGTCGAAACTGTGGACAATATTTGGCACTATGGCCATGGGTCCCACAAGCGTGACACTTGCCTTGGTCGAGTAACAATGTTGTTGATAGTGGCACGGAATGCTGCTGACAGAGTGGCTGAGACTGCAGCAAGTTTGGCCTCGTGGTTTAGGAGTTTCTCGTGTAGCTCTTCAATGGAGATTGTTGTGTCTTTGGTATTGATGATATCGAATACTGGCTTGTAATCCTCTGGAAGTTCTTCGTAAATGGCTTCAAACACATCGTCATGGTCCATTGGTTTGGACAACAGCGCAAGTTCATCTGCTTTCGACGAGATGGATGGCTTCAAACACATCGTCATGGTCCATTGGTTTGGACAATCTTGAGTACTTTTGACAATGCGTTTCATTTGATCTCGCAGCTGGAGAATATGGCCACGACTTGTTTTGCCGTAGGTTTTGGCGAGTGTCTGCCAAGCTTCACGCACAGAGGTGGAGCGAACGCGAACGATGAGTGGTTGGAAATTGATGAAAAGAGCTCCGAACAGAACGCTGAAGATGAGTCTATCTTGTTGTTTCCATGGCACAAAATCTGGGTCTTTGGTGATGACGTCAATTGATAGTGTTGTTGGTGGTACGAGCGAGTCTTCTATGACGAAGCACTCAAGATTGTGGCCCTCAAGGAGTGCACGAACTTAGATACTCCATGTAAAGTAAAGTAATTTGTGGATGTCAATTTTGTAATGTTGGTCATGTTGCAGATCAAGAGAGTGTTATGCGGATCTTGAGTATTGAAGGTGGTGACTGGTTCTGTTGGGTTATCAGAAGCCAATGGTGTCGACATGATTCGAGAAGGAAGCGAAAAAGATCGATTTTTTCAAACAATGTGCTCTGATACCATGTGAAGGTATATTCAGAGAGGTATATATGCGATTTAACCCTTTACATTGTATTACAGAGAATATATATGCACAAGTACAGAGCAATGGAAACCTAAGAGAAAATGTAGGTTAGAAATATAGCAAGTAGAGATATGAGATGATATACATATTTCTTTACAGTCGATCAGACCCGACTTCACGAGACAAGAGATACACGAGCGATATGCGAAGCGTAACCCACCCAGTTTCTGATGCATATCACAGCTCAACCATGATGCATATCAGTGGACGAATCCAGCGGCGTTGTGGTTCAACGCCGCGGCACCAGACCGGTGGTGAGAGGGACGACCATAGTCGGCTAAAAAAGAGGAAAATGGAAAATACGAAGGCTCCAAAATTTAATCGAGGCTTAACTATGTGGGCCTTTAATGGGTCAGTTATTGGGCCCATGATGAGGCTCAAATATTTGAAGAGACTCTGAAAGATAGAGAGGGTATCATTAATCAAGGGCTAAGCTCTCGACCGAGAAGAAATGGGTGATTCGGTAATTATTATAAAATATAGGGGTGCTTTGCAATAAATGAGATTTTGAGAAACCTCTACGTACGACAGAGAGTTTTGACTTTGGCCGTCAAGTTTTTTTTAAACTTTTATTTCAATTCGTTTTTTATATTCCCTTTTTTCCGAGCTCCCCTCACATGGCAGCTCTCGCTATACTTAGCTGAAAACTATCTATCTTCAGCCAGAGAGAGAGAGGAAGAGACAAGCTGGCGACTTTCAGTCCGAAGCGAGCAATGGCGGAGCTGCGGCACTCGAGCTCTCTCGGGAGCCGATCCTCCTCCTCTCCGCTGCGCGGGGGCGGCGGAGACGATGACGCGTCGTCGCCTCACGCCCACGATCACTCTCCCACCGGCGGAGACGACGACGGCGACCGCCCACGACGAGGAGATCGTGACCGTCCCTTCTGGTCACTTTCGGGGTTTCACTCATTGTTCCCCTTCCTCGGTGACGATCCTAGGGTTTCTCCTCACAAGAACAAGATTTCGCTTTTGGTGCTGTTTATTATCGCCGTCGCAAGCTTGATCTCCGTTTTAGGGATAGTCAATCATTTGGTGAGTCTATCGTCCGATCGAGGAATCGAAATCACCCGATATCCAACACTGGGCATCTGAGAGATGCATTCATTTCGATGCATAGAACAATATCAACGATTAGGGAATGTATTGGCTGAATCCATTGGGGTTTTCAACTGAAAGTTGCATTTAATTTTTCGTTGTTAAGCTAAGATCTTTTGTATTCGGATCACTTTTTTTGTGCAGAATACCCCATATTTGTGTAAGAAAGATGGAATTGTGCTTCACTGTCCACATGTAAGTATTTGAGGTTTGCTGTTTGTCCATGGAATCCATCTTCTGTTTTCTTCGCATGAATGAATTCTGTATTTGTTCGCATCTCGAGGTAAAAGAGTCACCTTCTCCATGGGAGAATCCTTTCTCTGCAACCACTTCATGGAAACCTTGTGCTGAGCGCCGCATTGGTGGAGTATCAGGTATTATTACGTAAGGCATTGTTGGAATCTAACATGAATCTTTCAATTATCACCATGAACTTTTTCATGTGTTCTTGATCCATCGTACCTGAAGTTAAATTGCTTTTTCTTGAGCTGGGTCTTTGGTAGATATATCAGCTTAGCAATTTGCAACGACCATTTTCAGATCTTCCGCCCGAGAATGAAACAAATGGCTACATCTTCATCCATGCCGAGGGTGGTTTGAATCAGCAAAGAATCGCTGTATGTATCTCCCATGTTTAATACACCCCGGTTCATATTTTCACTGTTCAATTCTGAATCTAAGTGCGTGTGGGTATACTCCTTTTAAGTCGAGCCATCTCTGCAATCACTTTCCGTGAAAGCTTAAATTTTTGCTCTTCAATAGCTTCAAAGTTTGAAATTTTCTTCCTTCATCTGCTTTGCAGATCTGTAATGCAGTGGCTGTTGCTAAGATTATGAATGCAACTTTAATTCTTCCTGTGCTAAAGCAAGATCAGATTTGGAAAGACCAAACGTGAGCTTATTAAGATTTTTTTTTCACATACTATTCAATTTTGATTTCTATTTACTGTAATCATGACTTTGGCTTGTGAGTAGCAAGATATCCCCAGGGTTTTTGCTGAATGTGCAAATGTTCTTTGCAGGAAATTTGAAGATATTTTTTATGTAGATCATTTCATTGATTACTTGAAGGATGATGTTCGAATTGTTCGAGATATACCTGAATGGTTCACTGACAAGTCAGAGTTATTCAGTAGCATCAGGTTTGCTTTTTAGCTTTCTGATAAGTGTCCCACATTGGAAAATGAGAGGGATTTGGGCCAATATATAAGTAAGGGCCAAACCTCCACTCTTAAGCTAGCTTTTGTGGTGGAGTTAGGGCCTAAACCTTATTAATTGGTATCAGAGCCTAACTCTCTACTTTCTGGTGGGCCTTTGACGGACCGTTCTCCTGCGGACATGCGGGCGACTCGGTGGTTGTGTGACGGTCGGGAGAGAAATGGTCAGGAGAGGAACAGTCGGGGATGGACCGAGAAGCCGCCATCGACCGAGAAGCCGCCAGCGACCAGATTTGCCCCAGCGCCGTGGACGTCGCTGTCTAAAGGGGGCAATATTGATAAGTGTCCCACATTGGAAAATGAGAGGGATTTTGGCCAATATATAAGTAAGGGTCAAACCTCCACTCTTAATCTAGCTTTTGTGGTGGAGTTAGGGCCTAAACCTTATTACTTTCATTGGAGATATGATTACCTTTGTTGATTCAAATCGATGCAATACATATATATATATATATATATATATATATATATAACACAGTGATTTTGACCAAGCCAGTTGTTTTCTGCAGACGGACAATAAAAAACATTCCAAAATACGCACCAGCGCAATTCTACATTGACAATGTTTTGCCTCGAGTAAAGGAGAAGAAGATAATGGCTTTAAAGCCTTTTGTTGATCGGCTAGGGTGAGGCGCTCTATATACTATGGATCAAGGCAATGAACTTTTAAGATTTTTCTGCTTACAACAAATGATGTTTCCTTTTTATGCTTGCGATTTTTTTTTTCAGGTATGATAATGTACCACCAGAAATCAACAGATTACGGTGCCGTGTAAACTACCATGCTCTAAAATTTCTGCCAGAGATAGAGCAGATGGCCGATTTGCTTGTTTCGAGGATGAGAAATCGCACTGGAAAGCCAAATCCGTATATGTATGAGATCGAGATATCAACATTATAGAATGTTGTTTGATACTGAAACCTTTTTGCAATTGTTTTGACTCAAAGCTGCTTCCATTGCCAGGGCTCTTCATCTTAGATTCGAGAAAGGAATGGTGGGTCTATCCTTTTGTGATTTTGTCGGGACAAGGGAAGAGAAAGCTAAAATGGCTGAATACAGGAAAAAGGAATGGCCTCGTCGATACAAGGTGTGACTAAATGATACAACGGTATATGGTTTGCCACCCACCGGGCAGTGCATTAACCCGATTGCCTTTCTCGTGTATTTGCAGAACGGTTCCCATCTATGGCAGCTCGCCCTGCAGAAACGGAAGGAAGGCCGATGCCCCCTTGAACCAGGAGAAGTTGCAGTCATCCTACGTGCGATGGGTTATCCAAAGGAGACGCAGATTTATGTAGCGTCTGGTCAAGTCTATGGTGGTCAGAACCGGATGGCTCCACTCAGAAACATGTTCCCTAACCTGGTAATAAAAAGAACTCAGACCCATCTCTTTTCTTCACCAAAGCTTTGTTTCTGCACATCAGTCCTTTAACAATGTCGGATACCCAGGTGACAAAGGAGGAGTTAGCAAGCAAAGACGAACTAACGAGCTTCAGAAAACACGTGACGAGCCTTGCAGCGTTAGATTTCCTTGTCTGCTTGAAATCGGACGTGTTTGTAATGACGCACGGCGGAAACTTTGCGAAATTGATAATAGGAGCACGAAGATACATGGGTCATCGTCAGAAATCGATAAAACCGGACAAAGGGTTGATGTCGAAATCGTTTGGGGATCCATACATGGGCTGGGCGACGTTCGTGGAAGACGTGGTTGTAACTCATCAGACACGAACTGGGTTGCCCGAAGAAACCTTTCCGAACTACGATCTCTGGGAGAATCCTCTCACTCCCTGCATGTGCAAAGCTTGAATCTTTTCTTTAATCATTTTGGTATTTCGTGTAAAGTTCTTAATGGAAAAATTTTATAATTAGAAGTTATTGTTGATTAGTAGTTTCTCTATGACCAAGGAGAATCTGTGTTCATCCAAGTCAGAACTCTAACCCCAAATCAGATATAAGCTAATATATGTTTAACCCATTTCACGTTGTTGACTAAGTAATCATTTCCTGAATTCTACGTATATTATAATGTAGGGTGTCCTGTCGGTCGACCCAAATATTGTATTGTTATTCGAATACAAATCCGAATCTAGATTTTTTATAAAATTGAACCCGTTTTACTCGGATAACAAAAAATGGGGGATGCGAGATAATTTTTTAGTATTCCAAATATCCAAATTCAAAATTAAAAAATTGCAAGACATATAAATTGTAATATGTATACAGATATAAAAAAAAATTATAATATGATAGAAAAAATAAATAAAAAACTATAAAAAGAGTTATAGATTGGGAGGTATAATAACTTTAGGTTTAGATGTTTATATAATTAAAAAAATGGGTAAAATTGTAAAGTTATAATGTTTCGGGTATTTATGGATAATTATCCATCTTTTATTTGATTATTCAATCTCGATTCAAATTTCGTATTTTTTTTTAAAAGTTATACTCGTTTTCATCTCATTAGATGTTTGAATATTGGAAATTCGGATATCCAATCGTTACCGAATTTTGGGGTTGTTCCCAAACCCCTAATATATACACGAGCTTTCTAATTAAACTACTAATCAAGAAAAAGGTGGACAAAGATTTTTATTATATTAAAAAAAATTATGGGAAAAAGACGATGATAATTATACAGGGAGCCTTAATAAACTAGCCGTAACTTGCTTTCGCGTAGCGTGAACTTAACCTTGCTCGCCCCTCATTGGTGCGTGTTATTTACGCGCTTACCTCGCGCGTGTTGGCCTGCACCCCCTCCGGTTTGAAACATGCAACAATGTTTCCAAATGGAATCTCGTTCTCCTGAACATTTCTTCGTCACGCAAAAGCCTGAAGGTGAAAAGAGAGCGACGGCGACAGTCTGATTTTCCGGCGATTTCTTCTTTGTGTGTTGTCGGAGCTCCGGTGAGTCTCATAAGAGTCCTAGATCCGCATCGTTACGGAGGAATTTCTCTTTCCGTTTCCGTATATCTGTTCGTTTTCGAGGTTTTCCCGTTTCAGATCTCGGAATATCCGGTTTTGAGTTGGATCAGATGTCGAATCCATGGCGAGGGATCGGCGCTTGGGCCGATGAGGCGGAGCGTGCGGATGAAGAACGCGCCGCCGAAGGTACGGCCACTGTTGCGGCGGTGGAATCGCAGAGTTTCCCGAGCCTGAAGGAAGCTGCGAGTGCCAAGTCTAAGAAGAAAAAGAAGATGACGCTGTCGGAGTTCAGAACGGGCGCACTATGTGCGCCCGGCGGCGGAAGTGCGACGGTGGGACTGACGCCGGAGGAGATGTGTCAGCTACCGACTGGTCCACGGCAACGCTCCCAGGAGGAAATGCAAACGGGTCGTCTCGGCGGCGGATTCTCCTCGTACGGTCGGTCTGGTGGGCCTCCCGGACGGATGATGGGAGATCGGGATGATTCAGATGGGTCGTGGGGCGGTGGCAGGAGACCGTACGGCGGATTCGACGATGAACGGAGGGGACCATCGACTAGGGTTTCGGATTTCGCTCAGCCATCGAGGGCTGACGAGGTCGATGACTGGGGAAAAGCGAAGAAATCGCTTCCTTCTTTCGATCAAGGACGCCAGGGTCGCTACGGCGGTCTCGGAGGCGGCGGCGGCGGCGGTGGCGGTGGCGGTGGCGGTGGCGGTGGATTCTCCAAGGCTGATGAGGTCGATAATTGGGCGGCGGGAAAGAGGCAGCCTCCCGCGAGTTCATCTACATTTGGCTCGGGGTTCCGTGACTCCG